GGTTGGCGCAGGATAGAGCAGGGTTTAGGGCTGTTGTGCATAGGGTCGCTATGAGTCAGAAACGACTGGACGGCACATAACAACAACAACAACAATGTATGTTAAATTAAAAAGGAAATAGATTCAATTTAATTGCAGGGAGGGGGAAGCTGGCTTTATAAAAAGTCATTTTTGCTAATATTGAAGAGCTATGTAGAGGGCAAGCATTCAAATTCGTTTGGAATGGAAGATGCTAAAGAGACACATTTTTAGAATTTCCCTCTTAACATCTCTCTCTGCCTATATGTCTGTTTACTAGAGTTGAAGGTATTTCCTGAACGCTGACTAGTCCTTGCATTGACTTTTTCAATCACAATGACCTGTGGTTTGTTTGTTTGTTTGTTTCTCTAGTGAATGATATAAATTGTCTCACTACAGTTTCTTTTTCAGCTTATTTATGTTTACTCCCAATGACATGAAAATATAGAGTTAAATCTAGTGTTAGCAGTGAGTCCCAGGTGATGCTGAATCTTCATGACTACATAGATACTATTCTTCATGGGGGGGTGGGCAAGATGAGGCCAGAAGTTCAAACAGAAAGCTCTGCGTCTTCATGAGAGGACAGAGTCTTGAGCATGGGAAGAGGTTTGAAACAAGATAAATTTAGAGAAGATATGATAATACAAGTAGGAATCATCTCTAACTTTCCTCCCTTAAATATTTTATTGTACTTTAGGTGAAATTTTTCACAGCAAATTAGGTCCCCATTTAACAGTTTTTTACCTACTGTTCAGTGGCAGTGGTTACAGTTTTCATGATGTGTCAGCGTTCTCATTATTTCCATTCTGTTCACCCTGGTTATATGACCCTAGCCTCCCTGTCCTTTATCATCTCATTTTTGCTTCTGAGTACACGTTGCCCATTTGGGCACATGTGGTTGTTGATCTACTTAAGAGAGTCCACTACTCACAGGTTTATGTTTATAAGAACAATCGATTATTTGGGAATGGCTTCAGTTCCAAATTCAAACAGGATCTTAAAGCAATAGCTCAGCGATTCCTGTAGCCCTCAATGACCCAGTAAATATGGGCTTTTTTTAGGAATTGGAATCTGTTCTCCATTTTTCTCCCATACTATTTTGGACTTTCTACTGTGGTGTGTGAGTGGTCAGAATGGTTGGCAGGGTAGCTAGGTATCAGTTCTTCTTATATCAGGTTTGTGTTGTTTATTGGTCTTGTGGTGTCTTCTTTTAATCTTTGATTTCCTTCATTATTTAGAACTTCCTTATCACAATTTTCTTCTTGGAATTGGCCTTGCAAGGGCAGAACCGGCTCCCTAAAAATATCTGGACATGACCAAATAAAAGTACTCTTCAATAATTACAAAAAAGTCAGGTGATACATTGTTTATACATTGTTGTATTATTAACCAAAAGACATCTGCAGTGATTCAAATCCACCAGCGGCTTCTTGGGACAATGACAGCAGTTTCCTCTCCTTAAAATTTATATACTTGGAACAGATGAAGGAAAGAATTGTTTAACACATTGCTGCGCAATTTTAAACTGACGACGGTGCTTAGAAACACATTTTTTTTTATGCATTGCCGTCATTTGCAGCAACATTTTAAAAGAAATACATGATTAGGCATTATGTGTGCAACAGCCCAGAATAAGAGGTACATTGCAAAGAGGACTGGAAGGAGGGGTGGGGCAGGGAGGTAATTATGCAACAATGAATCTTTTTTTTTTTTAAAAAAGTGAACTGGGGGAGGGGGGAAGGGAAAAAGAGGGGGTAAAATGTGCAAAAATGAATAAATGAATCTAACTTTTCTGTAAACTTTCATTAAAATCACAATTAAAATTTAAAAATCATTAAAGATAAAACGTATAGATTTGAAAGCCCAATGGAGGGTCATTATGAGTCATAATCAACTCAAAAACAAGTTTGAGTTTTAAATCTTATGATTCTAAAAGTCCTACTGGTGTCTGCCTTCTTTCTTCTCTCCAGAGGGCACAGAAGACTAAAGGAGAAGGTAACTAGAGCAGATGACATTTTTCATAATGTCATTTTCCTTGGATCCACAATTAACACTCTTGGTACCAGCAGTCAGGTAATAAGGAGACGTATTGCACTGGGAAAATCTTCATGTTAGGGACTTCTTCAAATTACTGAGGAGTAATGATATTAATTTGAGAACGATGGTGTGTCTGATTACTTGCACTTCATCTGAGATTTGGATAACGGACAAGGATGACAGAAAAAGATTTATGCCTTTCAGCTGTGGTGCTGTAGAAAAGCACTGAACATCCCATGGACGGCCAACAACAGAATCGGATACGTCTTGGAGAGGGTGCAGCCAGAGTGCTCTTTGGCGGCAAGAATAATGAGGCTTCACTTCACATACTTTGGGCATGTTAGGAGGGGTTATTCCTTGGAGAGGGACTTGGTGCTGGGAAGGGTGGAGGGTTGGTAAAGGAAAGGAAGACCCTCAGGCAGGTGGATCGACATGGTGACTGCTGTAATGGGCTCTTGTGTGTTAGGCAGTGTAAGGATGGCACAGGATAGAACAGGGTTCAGATCTTTTGTCCATAGGGTTGCTAGGAGTCATACTAAACTTGACAGCATATAACAACAACAACAGCAATTTTACTTACTGTTTCCTATTCTTAAACTTGATTGTACTAATGTACACATCATCCTACTAATGTTAAAATTAAAGATTAATGACTTTTAACACAGCTGATAAAAACAAGTACATTCTACTTTAGTAAGTGGTAAGTAGGACATGCAAACATTTGTTTTGGGGTTGACTTATTTTACTCAGCACAATGTCTTCCAGTTCTATACATCTTATAGCATGAATTAAGATTTCACTTCTCCTAGTGGTTAAGTATTATTCTATTATATTTATATGCCATATATTGTTTACCAATATACACTGATGGGCATTTAGGTTGTTTCCACATTTTGGGTATTATGAATAGGGCTGCAACTGACACTGTGTGTAAGTATCTGATTCTCCGCTTTCATGTTAATTTGTCCTTCTTTTTAGAAATGCGGTGAAGTTTAGTCCTGACAGGGTTGTCTCTGCATTTTCTTCTAAGAATTTAATAGTTTTGTTTTTGTATGGTGTGAGAAACAAGGATCCAGTTTAACTTTCCTTCATGTAGAAATTCCTGTGTACCTAACACCATTTATATTTTTATTTGTTTAAATTGTGTTTCATTTACATTATTTTATATACTATTTCATCCACATTATGTTTTCACAAAATCATTCATATATATTGTATTTTATGTAATTACTCTTGAACTATCCTATCGTTTCCAGTCCCTATTGAATCTTTCCTATTCCTTCACACGCTCCCCCCCCCAACTCACCCACTAAACTCTGCTATCCTAGTGATTTCTATCCTTCTCCTTTTTCCATCCCCTTCCCCTTTCCGCTTCCCCTAAGAGGCTTCTCTGACCACAGAGTGGATTTAGTATCATTACAAAAAAATCAGTTGACTAAAATACAAAAGTTTATTTCTGCACCCTCAATTCTATTCCACTGGTCTATATATCTGTTATTATACTAGTACCAAATGGTTTTTGTTACTGTAGCTATATATTGTTACTGTTGTTATGTTAGGTGCCTTCAAGTTGAGTACAACCCATAACAACTCTGTGAACAACAAATCTGAACCCTGTCCTATCCTATGCCATCCTCACAATTCCTGATATTCTTGAGTCCCTGGCTGCAATCACTATGTCAATCCATCTGATTGAGGGTCTTCCTCTCTATCGCCAACCCCTCACCTTTCTAAGCATGACATCCTTCTCCAAGGAATAGCCTCTCCTAGCAACATGCCCAAAGTATGTGAGGTAAAACTTTATCATACTTGTCTCCAAGAAGCACTCTGGATGCATTCTCTTCAAGACATATCTGCTTGTTCTTTTGGCAGTCCCTGGGATGTTCAGTACTCTTCTCCAACACCACAGCTCAAAGGCATCAATTCTTCTCTCATCCTTATTCTCTGTCCAGCTCTCAGATGCATAGCAAGTGATCGGAAAGACTATGGCCTGAATTACGTGTACCTTAGTCCTAAAACTGATACCATTATGGAAGTATGATATCATTCTTTTTTTGTATTTTAAATATAATATTATTTTTCAACACTGCCTTTAGTTATTCAATATCTCTTACCATTCCATATAAAATTGAAAATTAGCTTTTCCAATTCTGTAAAGAATGTTATTGGAATTCTTATTGGAATTGCATTGATTATAGATAGCTTTGGATAGTACTGAGATTTAGCACGGACATCTTAACAACTTTGGTTTTTTTTGTATTTTTGTTCGCTTGTTTTGTTTTTCGCTTCACCCAATCTCCCAACAACTCTGATTATTATTAGGTTGTGAATCATCTCAGATATCTCTACTTTAGCAGTTTGATGAGTCTTGATGTAGTACAATCATTACTTTGATAAGATTTGATATAAGCAGTCAGCTGAATAAGATTTTCACTGCAGGTGTGACCTAAATCAAATATATAAGGAAGTCTTGTAGAGGAGGCTTGTTTTTTGACTGATTATCAACTTTGTTTCTGATTCATCACCTCTTAGGTTCTTTGAATCTGAGCCAGCAGCCTGCCTTTGCTGACTTTGGATGATTTTTTTTAGCCTTCAAATCTATGTGTCATGGACCTGGAACTTGCTAGCCTCTATAAATACAAGTCATATCCATTGTTGTTGTTGTTGTTGTGTACCATTGAGTCAGAAACGATCCTTGGCTGACCCTCTGGCGGGTTTTCAGAGGTAGTTAATCCCACGGGAGGACATTGCCCATTCTTCTCCCTTGGTGTGGGTGGATTCGAATCGCATGCCTCCAGGATGGCGACAGAGCTTACCAACAGGCCACCACAGCTCCCTTTAGACTCTCAAATAAATATATCATGATGTAGCTACTGGTACTGGTACTGTTGTGAGGATTTTTGTTTTCTTGGTGTTAAAGTGTAATCCACACTGAAATCCATAGTCTTTGATCATCCCCAGGAAGTGTTTCAAGTCTTTTTCATTTCTGCAAACAATGTTGTGCCATCTGTATAATATAGACAATTGATGAATCTTCCTCAAATATGATGCCACATTCTTCATCTATTCCAGCTACATTTTCTTAGATAATATAATTGTAGTTCTAGCCTACAAAAAATACAATTAAACAGGGGTATACTGAGGACAAGACATGAATAAAATAAGATCACAGATGAAAATAATGGATTTTTTAAAGTATCTGCTATTTTTGCAAACCTATGTCATTAGCAATGTTCTTAGGGCAGAAAATTGAGTTTACCATTCTTATCAAGTTATTAAGTAAAGATATTATATTTGCTCAAAATTTAACTTCGATTTGAGCTCAAGCATGTTATACTCAACTTATACTTTGACCTCCTTTCACTTGATTCCAAAACAACAAACTAAAGCAAGACTCTTACCTTCCCTTCTTCGAGGTGAAGTAAGAGGACTTTATCTCCAGGTTTATAATCTTTGAGCAGCTCTGCTGACTTCCAAACTTCTTCAGGATCAGGTATCCAAACTCTGGCAAACTAGAAGGAAAAAGTGAGGGGAAAAAAATTAAACTAGTAAATTGATAAGTTTGCGGTAATATATCCAACACATCATTAACCGGCTTATAATTCAACAATTTATGACAAAGAAATTTTAATCAGTATGAAATGTAATTTTTATATTAGTAAAAATATTTTTGCTCCAGAAGTATGATTATGCCTATATTAAGTAAATGTATGTTCTGAAGTAGTAGCTAAAATTACAGCTTGACTTTGCTTTATAAATAATAGTAAATGCTTGAAGGAGAAGGAATGGGGGGAAGGACCAATTATGAATAAATGAAAATCTAATTTTTCTGTAAACTTCCATTACAATTACAATTAAAATATTTTTTTAAAAAATAGTAAATGGTAGCTGAAAATGTCAGTTTAGGAAAAAAAGTACATATATAAAGTCCATTTTTCCCTGATTATGAACTTCCATGGGTCTGTTTAGCAAACAGATTTTGAAGCCCTGGTATAGTGGCTCTGCCAGTTTCAGCAGCACAGTCAGATGGCTTCGATTTTTTTTTTAAATAGCAATACCTACAGTTAGAGTTTTTATTGTGCCTTTCATTCTAGTTTCTACAAAACCTTAATGACTTCTCAGCTACCCTCAAGAGTCACTGTCATAGGGAAATGTAGTAACAACCTGCAGCTTTAAGCCTTGGCT